CAAGGAAAAGTGGTTGTTGGTTATTAGAGTAACATAGTACTGTAACATATTTTGTGTAGAGTGAAAAATATCACACCCCCTAAATAGTAAATTCTGACAATAATCATCAACAATTGATTAGGTGGGCTATAATTAATTAAAATTAGGATGCCATTTACTTGCTCTACTAAAAAGAACTATGTCACCGACCAGTCAGTTAACAGCCGACCGCTCTACCACTGAGCTACTGAGGAACAGGAGGATTCGACCTCCCAGAGTTCAACCCCCGGTTTGTCAGTTTAAAAGGTCAGCGCTCACATCTAGCAGCTGACCAATGGATATATATTTTACATAGCGTCATATTTAATTTTAATTCAAATATTTGTTAACATTTTTCAATTTTGCAGGTCAAATACGAAAACAGATAGATTTGAATGATGCTTTAAAACATCAGTTGACATGGGCACTGGCGTAATGATGATGGACCGGATTGAAAACTCAACGAGTTTTAAAAAACAAGTAGAGGTGCATATACAAATAACTGTTTTTTATCTGTATGTGTGTTGCACATGATATAAAATACTCAAAAGTTGTATTTCTATACATGTTCAGTTTTGCATAATATGTGAGAGATGGAGATGGATTTTGTCGACGTTTGATTTTTTTTCTCCATCGGCAACGGTTCCGAGGCGATGTTGTTGGAGAGGACAAAAATTCACCAAGTTTTACAGAACAAAAAAATGTGCAAGCGATGATAGCCCACAACAAAACCCAAAAAAATTATAAAAATTATCCCACAAGATTTTTACTTTCAGTGTGATTATCGTTCTTTCACCGTTATGAGTCGAGGAAGAAGTTTTTATTATACTTGCTCAAGTATCATGCGAATGAAGCTAAAAACAACATTCCTGATACTATATGAGAAAATTTTAAGCACATCAAGTAGATCTTAATTCCTCACAGATTATTAGCTGGATCATTGCTCTCTATGCATATATCGTTAAATTGTTTTTTTGTTTCAAACATTATCTCAACTGAAGTGGATTTTAATCATTATCAGATTGTTACTAGTTATCTTTTTTATACATGTGAAATTTTAGAATACATTATTTTTACATATAACTCCAGCAAAATATCTAAATGCCCGTGGCAACGCACGAGCATTCTACTAGTAGAGCTAATTTGCCACGTCAAATTGTTGAAAAAGTGTTTTAGTAGCATGACACTTTTATTATTTAGACTATGTAATTTTGTTAATTAATCCATGGTAGTTTTATTGTAGGTAGGATGACACTTTTCTTATTTAGACAATGACAATTTCATTTGTTAGACCATGATAATTTTTTTATAGGTAACAAGACACTTGCAAAGGGCAAAATCTGACCCAAAATACAAGAGGGGGGGGGGGGTAATAAACCAGCAGGCAGGTAGTAGGTAGCAATACATTTTATTGGTTAGACTATGTCATCAACATTAACCTAACCAACTCATCATCGCAGGACCACTTTTGAGAAGTATTTCAATGTTGCGGAAATGGTCCAATCAGAATGAAAAGGAAGTTAAGCTAGCTCACTTTTGGATAGAGCATGAGCTCCTTCAGTGGGTGCTCACGAATGTCATGAATTGCCATGTAGCGAGCGATGCGAGGATGTTTTTTTGTCGCGCCTCCCATCACCCCGTTTATTTTTTCCCTCCCATTAAAAACTAAATCTCATTAAAGGGGGGGGGGGTCTTGTTTCATGCTTACTCCGGCAGGTGTTGATTCAATTTGATCACGTAAATAATAGGTAATTAAGAATTCAGAAATCACATCATATATGTGAGATCACCTTACTAAAGGACGTATATAAGATTTTTCTCGATAGCCATCCAAAACAAAGTAAGATATTCCTCAATGTACTGCCATTTATTGTTATCATTATTTTTACTATTAAAGGACAATCACAATTTTTCTAATACAACAAAAATAACATATCCTTTTTTATCTTACCAAATCACATATATACTTTTTATCTTAAAATCTCATACATCTCTACTATTAAATATGAGTTGGTAGGCTGTTACACATGGTTTATTTTCGCCTTCACCTTCCACCACCACCTCTCCATGCTGGGGTTTTCTTCCTACACACTCCCACCTCCGTGGTGGCAGGCAGGTCGTCGGACCGCCATGTACAAGCGTTCGTGGACACCGTCATATTATATTTCTTGTCAGTCATACAGAGAGCCAGACAATCTACATCCTCAAATTAAGTGTGTCCATTCAATCATCAAGAAATTCGTTAGGTAAATGTATCTACAATACTCTGTAGGCCTTGCATAAATGAATCCATTGCAAGAGGCACATCAAATGCGTAATATCTATATTATCAAAGAGAATTTTTAGGTAGTCATCGTTCGTAGCAGCCATTCATAAGAAAATAATTTGGAAATCAAGCACAAATCAATTTGGAGATCAAACCATTAATGCAACTAATTAGCTAGACATTTAGTTACATATGCAATTGATTAGGTCCATTTAAAATATGATTTTTTTGCACCGAATCAATTTGGAATCTGATTCATTAATGAAATTAATTAATTAGGCAGACATTTAATTATGCCTACAAATATTTAGAAGCAGGGATTTTCCTAATTAGGCATAATTAATTGATTTGGTTGGTAGTTAATTAGGCACACAGAGAGTTAGGTAGGCATTTAATTACTTATGTAATTAATTAATTTAGCAGACATTTAATTGTGCCAAATCATCTTCAAAGAGCTTCCGGGCAAGGATGGTCAACATGCTCTCAGCGACATGGTATAGCACTGCTTGCCAACATGGACAACGACCACCATGCGCTCGTGACATGGACGACCAAGCATTCACTAAGATAGATGACGACCATGCTCTACGGGATGTCCACACATTGATGGTTGCCGAAATGTTCACGGGCGAGGACAACACGACACTACATCGGCCAGGTGGTTCATGCTATAGTAGAAAGGAAGAGTGTTATAAGAATATGAAGGAAAAAGAACTAAAGCTGCCAAGTGTTTCATGGTGTTGGAGAAGGAAAGAGTCTTCCAGAAAATTATAAGTGAAACAAGAAAGAGAGAGTATTCTAGAAAATAAATAGGAACGAGAACTAAAGCTGGTGAGGAAGGAGGAAGAAGAAAATGAGTCGTCGCTGACGAAGGCAGGGATGTTGATGTGGTGTTGGTTGGCGCCGACGAAACGATTGCCAC